AATTAAGTTTATGGAAAAGGGAAAAAAGTAATGCACAGAACTGAGACAAACATCACTGGTAAAGTGTTTGAAAGTAAACATCATATTTTAATAATAATCTGCACTCTACTAGCATTAATTATAAGATTTAAACCCCATTACATGCTCACCTGTGAGTCCCCCCTGTAGAACAGGGGAGCACTGCTGCCTGTGCTACCCACAGAGATGTGGGTATCTTCATTTCCACTGGGGCTTGGAGTCCACCTCTGTTTGCTCATCTGCACTAACCTTTTTAAGGGCCACGAAAGGGGCAGCATCTTGTGCTGCTACTGCCCGTGCCCGCTGGCCTGGGACAGCTCACTCGCACCCTGCACACAGCCAGGGCTTTCACTTCTCTTTCAGGGGCTGCTCTGTGCAAATCTAATCACAGATGAAGATCTACGTGGGACAGGGGAGCACATGGGGCTGAGGATCCTTGCCAGGGTGCCCAAGCAGAGAGGTCCGAGGTTGCTCTTGCCCTTCAGAGGGGGATTTTAGCCATGGCGGACATTGCACAGAGCTTCAGTGGAGGAAACCAAGTCACAGCAACACAGCCAGAAGACCCTGTGCTCCCCCAGGACCTCTTGCCACACAGTCAGTCACTGCAGCCCGCACCGGAGCGCTCCTCAACGCAGGAGCAAGAGCTCCCTCGGGGTGCCCGGGGCGCCCCCACACAGGCACAGCTGAACTGAAGGGAGACGCATTCGCACCAGCACTCCTAACTACCTGCATTCCTAAAGCTACACACAAAGCAAACTGCAGAACCTCAGTTTTATTTACCATATTATTTTATTATTTATCATAAACTGGCTTTTCCACATTTGCACCATCATCGAGGTATAGCAGAAAAAAAAAAGGTTAAAAAACAGTCTTTTTCCCCAGCAGAAAGAGACATCTTGTGGAAATCTCTATTATGAGATATTTGGTCATCATTATTCTGCCCTGTATCTTATGAAAGTAATTAATCTCTATTAAGCCATTAAAATCTGATAAATGACCACAGATATGCTTAAAAGCCATTTTTTCTCCCTTGCACCTTGGACAGTAAACTGTCATCACATTAGCCAGAGGTGAGGAAGTTTGTTTGCTACAATCATAAAACTTTCACTCTATATTAAGACTTATCAGAACCAGGAACGCTGAGTACAGATTTTAATAACAGATGAAAATTTCAAATCCATGCCTAATGCCCATATGCTTCTGAAAGACAATATGATGATTCAAAGCTGGTAAGCTAATCACAAAAGTCTTTTCCTAGCCAATGCAAAACCTGGATACAAGCTGTCAAAACAACCGCCTCAGTCACATATTTTCAGCTGAATGGAAAACATACCTTAGGATGTGCTGCCATTCTGCTCTGAACGTTTGAGGAAAATGAGATGCTGTCCACGTATTTTATCAGCGCTTCGCTGTGTACTCTAGAATAACTCTATGCACGTCATGCACAGCAGTACAACTGCATTGAGAGATGAAGTTTAGAAATAAAAGAGCTTTCACTGAAGCGGCCAAACTCTCAAACTATATTACCTAAAACAAATAATTTCTACTTCCAAAGAAGGGTGGCAATATTACAAAAATGCCAACTTTGCAGGTGTTCTCCTGCATGCCACTTCTCCTTGACACTGACAAACCCTGGAAAGGACAATTACCCATCCCTGCTTGCTTCAGGCTATGGCCAGAGCGTTGTGCAAGCACAGGTACCGCCAAGAAAGTATTCTAAATTTAGGCCTAGATACTCTTATGATTATCTTCAAAGTTACTCCATACTTTTTGATGCAGGAAAATCAGTTTGGTTGTGGCCTTTGAAAACCCTCCCGATAGACCCATTTCTTCAGCTCCAAAAGAGGAGCTTGGTGATCATGACCCATTAAGCCCTGGCAATGCCTCCCTTTATAAAAGCACTGGGGACACCAACACCAGCTAAACAGCAGCTCAGCTTCTCAGCAAAGTGCAGGCACTAAAAAGGTGAGTCTGTCTGTCCTATTCCTACGATTTCTATAGGCTCTTCTGGAGGCAAGGGCTTCATCTTTCCCTCCTGATTCGGTCTGAGCATGCTGCTGGCAGGGGAAATAATAATCTCAGAGAAATTAAACAGTTGGCATATCTTAAGACTTTCTTATAGGGCTGCAGAAAGGAGAAGAAAGGATTAGCCTCTTGCAGGCTGGCTGGAAAAAGTCAAGTTATGGTTGTCACCTACCTCCAGTTTCACAGGGTGGTATAAAATGGCAGAACAGTCTCCTTCCCAGTTCACCCCCCTGCTAAACAAACAACTGTTCCCATTATAGAACAATAAAGCTTAACATAGAAGACCAAGAACAGCGAACGGAGCTGCAACAAATAGAAGTATATCAAATAAAAAGCTAAAAGTGTAACAAATGGAAAGACTGAGAAATATACAGCTACTCAGTATTAGACCATCCCTCTGAATTCACAAAAAAGTCAGTATTAATTAGCTACTTGTCTGTGCAAATCATAACTTACCTTCACTTAAGAAGTTTGGGAGAACATATCCAAATATTAATAATAGAAAAATGAACCATTTTTATAACAAAAATCTTGATTTATTAAAAGCTGGAACTGGTTAAAAATAAATCCTTGACATAAGGTTCTTGTTAGCTTTAAAATGTAAGCATAAAAATACTCTAGAATTATGTTTTGGTATGGATGAAATGTACACTATATAACACATAAAAAGAGTCTTGACTTGCTGCTATTATTTTTAATTAGGCTCTCTAGCACGTATGGTTTTACCTTCTAACACCAATTCAGATTTGGGAAAGGGGAGGGTTTGACTCTCCACACTCATGGGACTGGCAATTCCATGGCTCATGCCTTGGAGCACTAATGCATTTTACATTAGCTCTGAGCATCAGGAAATCCTGGCTTCTGGCGCCAAGGAGTTCAGAACGATAATGACACACATCTGAACACCGGGATTCGCCGCCCCACTGCCAGTATCTATTCTATCAAACAATCCAGCCCTGCTGCATTACAAATAGGACAGAACATTTGCAACAGTCCACGCTGTTTCCAATTAGACCGAGTGTCTGGATTGCAGATAATTCGCGATCGTATTGAAAAAAGCCTTCCTGGAAAACCAGATTCTAATGAGAAATTTTAATACTTACAGGGGCTACCAACAATGGGCAATTACCAAGTTTGCAGTTTACCAAATCACAGCTTGGGCCTGTCCTGGTCATTGACTCTGGCCTCTAAAATGCCCTGAGACATTACAAAGAAATTCTAAAAACTTTTTACCTAAAAATAAACCAAACGTATTTTGTCACTTATTCTGGCTGGGAGGTCAGATTAAGCAGCATCTTACAAAGACAGACCTTGGACAAAGGCTTGAAATTTAAGGTTCAGTGACCTATTCCTACCCAATGACACGAGATTTTCCGCAGCTAAAAAGACTGCTGACAAACCAGCAGGATCGACTGGGGCTTCCTTTGGTTTACTGAAAACTCTCTCTCCACTCTCTCCCCTCACAGCAACTGGAGGCAGAGACTTAAGTCTCCCTCTCAAGGAGGCACATGTTTTAGTCTTATTTTTTCAAGGATTTTTGTTATCATAATTTGTCCTTATAAATGTTGCCACCATTCCACCTCTGCCTAATGTTGAGCTTTGTGATGCATTAATGACAGAAAATCTGTAACAGAAATCAATGTTACCATCCACCACCCCTTAACAACTACGAGGAGCCAAGGCGAAGGATTTTTTTTTTCCTTGCTTCAGCTATACAGAGTTGCTCGTATTTTACAAATGTTAAATAAAGTTACAAATGGTGAAAATAATGTTATTACTTTCAAAATAAATTACTTGAACCACAGTGCTGTGCATGTCCAGATAACATCCTGTTAAAGCAAATTCCGTACTCTGATCATAAAATGTTGGAAACATTTCCTATTTATTGCATACGGTAACATGCTCTATAAAAGAGATTTTCCAAGCCCTACAGAAACTACAAAGGACCCTCCTTCTTTGAAATGAGACTGTTCTATTTTGAACTTGTGGGGGAGACCTACTTGGCAATCCAAGCTGGAACAGCTTATTAACATGTAGAGAGCCAAGGTCATAGACCAGAGGGGCAATTCAGAGAAACATCTTCTCAAAGTCAGGCCATAACAGAGAGAGCTCCTGCTCCTCTAGCAGAATTTCCAAGTAAATGCCCCTGGTAATCAAACTGGGAATGAGAACTGGAAGGCTTAGTTTGAGGGGGAAAAAAAGTTCAGAAACAGTTTAGGTTTAGGCAGCCGAGAAACTTATTTTTAACAACTTAAGAATGCTGGAAATAAATTTCTCCTAGGTAATTAGGATCTCAAGCATCTCTCTAGACATTTCCCAACAATGATGCCTGAATAATATTTGAATAATTGTCATAGCATGTCGTCAGCTGTGTTCTAGTTTTATTTTACAGCTTTTAGAAAGCTAGCATGAATTACAACATGCACGCTAATGTGCTAAAAGAAATGTGTAATTCAAAAGACAGACTAGGTTTTCCAGCGTGATGAAAAATGATTAATCCTTTCACATATGATTCCCATAAAGCTGCTTTTCCAGGATAAGTCATTCCCCCTATTATGCATTTAGGACATAACCCTACTTAAAATTATAGGAGGCAAACATAGCTAAGAACAGAAATTAAGCCTTATAGAGAACTCTGAATTAGCCATTTTCTCATTATTTACATTCCTTTCAAACAGGAATTTACCTGCTGGAGAAGGGATGCTGCCCAACGAGGTCTCCATTCTGAAGATGATAATCACTGAAGAACTCAGGACTCACTGCTCCATCGGGGGCTATTAAGCCATCTATAAAAACAGGAAAGACCCAGAGACCAGGTGAAGGAGCATGATTTTAGCACAAGTAGGCAACAGCCATGTTTGCCTTAGGAATTAATTAGCAATCCACAACACTCACTTCTGTGAGAAATGACAAGTAATAATAATACTGGGAAAAAAATGCCTGGAATGTTATATCTGTACCCTCATCAGAGAAGTGAGTCTAGAAAAAAAGCAATGCACAAGGTCAAATATGAGTATAGCAGAATAAGAGTAGAAGAGCAACAAATGTCTTAATTACTCAGGCCTTCACCGCTGTAATTTTTAAAAGGAGCTAAATAAAATAGGAGAGCAGCTTCAAAACCATTTTTTTGATCTCCTCCATAACACAGAAAAGTTGGGGCTGGAAGGGACCTCTGAAGCTCTTCGGGTCCAAACGCTCTGCCCTAGCAGGTCACCTAGGGCAGGATGCCCACAATCCCGTTCAGTTGGATTTCGGCATCTCCAAGAATGGTGCTCCACAACTTCTCCAGGAAACCAGCATCGATTTTCAGCCATCCTCACAGTAAAGAACTGTTTTCTCATGTTCAGAGGGTATTTGAGAAGAGCCTGACTCCATCCTCTTTACATCCTCCCATCAGATAATATGTACATTGATAAAGTCCTCCCTGAGCTGCTGCTTCTCCAGGTCAACCAGTCCCAGCACTCTCAACCACTCCTCATATCAGACATGCTCCAGTCCCCGAACAACTTCAGTGGCTCTTTGCTGGATTTCCTCCAGCAAATCCATCCTGCCGTGTACAGAAGAGCTCAGAACTGGGCCCAGTGCTCCAGCTTCGCCAGTGGGAAGCAGAAGGAAGGATCATATCCCTCATCCTGCTGTGAACGCTCTCCCTAACACAGTCCAGGATACCAATGGCCTCCTTTTCTGCAAGGGCACAGGGCTGGCGCATGGTCTGTCTGTTGTCCACAAGAACCACCCCCAGCTTCTTCTCTACAAAAATACTCTCCAGTACCAGTTCATGGGATTATTACTCCTACACTTCTAGGCGAACGACTATTTGCCTTTACTGAACTTCAGGAGCTTCCTCTCAGCAAAGAAGGCCTTTGTTTACTATGTGCTCACACAGACACAGATTACAATTTTCTGATTCTTTTCTATAAAACCACGAGCAACATGACTCATATGTTTGTAAAGCCAGCAGTATTCCTTAAAGACTTCACAGCTCCTCTTTCCATTATAAGGAACAGTAGGAAATCAGAGTCCAACGTTTTGCCTAAGTTAGATCAGGGTAAATCCAGACTGTCTTTGAAGTCAAGTCAGTGAATGAGAACCCAACTTAATTCTTCCATGTTCTCGTTCCCAGAATACATTTCTTGTTCATACTAGGGGCAACAGTTCTTGCCTGGTAATTAGTATTAGGCTCCAATTAGATTAAATGAGCTATTTCATTAAAACAGACCCTACCTCAGTTTGTCTTTGTTACTGTATAAAAAAGAATCTAGACTTACCATGTAGAAAATACTCTAATAAAAATAAACAAAGACAGATACATGCTGACTCATTTTAATAGTTTAACAGAGGATAGAGAGACTCCTAATGACTAGGAAGTAACAAATGCCATTCCACTTTAAAGAAAAAGAGATAAGATGCAGGGAATCACAGGCCACTTAGCTTAACCTCTGTGGTTTCCAAACTACTAAAACTGCCTGTGCAGGAAGCAGTGGAAAGTTACTTACAGACACAAGGGCTTAAAGACGACGAGTCAGGCATTCAAACAGATCTCCCTGTGCTTTATGAATCTACCTGATGCTTTTTGAAGATAATATAGTGACAAATGATAAAAGGAATAGAATTGACACGTCTAGATTTCTAATAGACATTTGATGAGGTGCTACAGAGATTCATTTAGAAGATAATTCCTCATGGGAAAGTGACTGAACATAGTGCAATAGACTGTAAATGAAAAAGGCCAGCCATGACCAGGCTGCATTTTAGCAACACAAGATAGCTGTAACTTGGCTATACTCTAACTGTATACACACAATTGCACACGCTTCGTGAAAGAACTTCAATTTATGAAGAAGTTTTCTGGCACAATCTGTATTATTGTCTCTCAGCATGAAAAAGAGCTGAAATGGGTATTATCATCACTCGTAGCATATTTACCTTTCTTCACCTATCCTGTATTTTACATACACACACAGAAATGAGGTGGAACATACGCATTGCTATACTCGTGGTATTTCACATTGAAATTTATCTAATAGAGTACCAATGTATTTTACAGCTAGGTTTGCCTAGAATTAATTTGAAAGCAGACACACCTAAAAATATCATCTCAATACATGTTAACTCTGAGACTAGAGCCATGGCTACTTAATGTGTCTTCAATCAAGACTGCTAACATTCAAACCATAACACTCAGAGTTATGGCTCGCATGAATTTCTAGGAAACTGAAAGCACATGGCTAACATCAGCTACATATTATATGATTAGAGCTAAAGGACATCTGTTGTTATGTACATTTCAACATAAATTAGGGTTCTGTATTTTCAGAGCAAGGGAGGCACTGAACTCATGAAGGTAAGTTCAGAGATTCTACCAAGTGTTTGGAGCAGGCTAAAATTATTTCGCAAGAGATGTTGGTTTATCAGGGCAACGAGAAGCGACTTTTGCATCAGCTATCGGTGCAGATCATCTGTAAAGTTATCACACTGAAATACAAACTTTTTATTTGTGACTAGATGCATTTTTGGCATCTTTGACTAAGACATGCTCCATCCTTCAGAAATCCAGACGCCTGCTCCAGTTGGTACAATAACCCACAGCCTTTTCAAAGGATTATCGTGTACCCTCTGGCTGCAGTTCAGATGTATAAAGCTAGCAGAGTTCAGAAGCACACCATCACAGGCACTTGCCAGAAGAAACCTGAAAAGCAAATCTATATTTTGAATATAATCACTTACTCTTATACCTCCAAAAACAAAAGTGCTTTTCAAACATCTGCAGAACACATCACTGGATTTCTGCCTCTCCCTCCCTGATCAAATATCCATTCCAACACAAAAAATCTGTATTCAAATAGCATGAAGCCTGTAATACAAATGATTAAAAGCCAGGAAATTCAGTGTTACTGGTGACACTCCCTCTCTAGTCCACACTGCTGGGAAAAGAAATGGCCAGTGAAGTAAGCAAGGGTTTATTATTAAGACCCGGGAAGCAGACACTGCAGAGGGCCTGCTCTGATGTCTTCAACTGAGGAGTCCAAAAGAGACTTGATATAATAAGAGACATATACTTGGCTCACACCGCTAACCTCATAGAGGTCTAAGACAACAAGATAAAGCTAGAGGATTCAAAGGGAAAAACCTACCTGTAAGAAGGTGTGTTGATATGGATGATAACTAAGTACATGAATAAGAGTCCTTATGTTCTGATATACTTTGAGAATAATTGTAGAAATGCTACTGAGGGCTTGCATTTTTTTTTCCCCCCTTAGCAACTGCAGATAAGTTTATAGGTTTCAGTGGGTTTGTTTTGCTTATTACTATTCCTGCAAATTCATCCAGAGACAGCTTTGTGACTCATGTTGCATAGCAAAGGATTGGACACTTATTTGGAAAATAAAGGAAAGACTCAAAATCAGCTATTAAGAGGGGAAAAAAAGTATGTGCACATAGTCCTCCAGTTTGGAAAGAATATAAAACCGCAAGTTTGAGAGTACAAGCCAAGACCTAGTTATTAAAGGTTATGCAGACATTTATCCAGTGGACAAATTATTTCATGATTGTCTCCTGTAGGGTTTCTTGAATCTTCCTCTGAAACAGCTGGCAAGAACAAGCACTGGAGAGAGGATACTAGATATATCACTGCCTAAATCCAGTACGACAATTTTCTTAGTAACTACAAAATTTTTACCAAACGTTCAAGACAGCAGATTCGACTTGAGGTACTCCAGAAACTCAACTGTGCAGAACTGCATCACTATAAGCTATCAATAGCAGGAAAAAAATGGCTACGTGAAAGGTCTTTTTCCTTTAAATACACATATAAATACAAAAATCTCAGATAAGAATGTGACTTCCCTTAATAATCACTCAGACTTCCTAAATTAAATTCTTAACAGTAATAAGATGACTGCAAAATTATAAACACAGATTCAGAAAAAGTCACATTACCCTCTGCTATAAAAAAAATCCATTATGGAACCAACACATAAGGCAGAACAGAATTCAGCACAAAGCTGTACCGTGAAGTTTACAGGGATGAGAGAAGGTCTGTGTTTGCTAAGCAAACAAATATGGATACAAGCAGGTGAGGGCCAGCTTAGTCAGCTGGCAGTCAGGATCAGTTAGCTGTCTGACAGAGCTGCTCATATTTCTAGAGATCTGCGATACGCCATAAGGTCATCCATATACTGTACCAAACATTCAATAATATCCTAACAAGACCAGCCTCCCGCTGGTGTGGAGTTTCAGCTGATCCGCTAGTTTTATTTTGTGGGTTGTTTCAATGTCCACAGATCAAGTTCTGGTTCCAAATATGAGCGGTTTGGGACAACCCCAGTCCCAAACACCAGCACGTGCTGCCTTACCTGCATTATAGTAGAGGTCAGGTCTTTCCAGAATATCCCCCTCGTGGATGTAGGGCTCAATGCGCTCGTCCCCATACAGATACTGCTCACTGTCATCCATCTGCCGACTCTCCACCATCTCCAGCCACTGAGAGTTGTGCCAGCGAAATTTCTCACTCTGGATTTTTTTGGCCCATTCCTCATCATATTCCTGTTAATAAAAAAAACCAAAACACACAAAAATTTTAGGAAGTACACAAAACTGTTTGGCTTAAAAACATAAATCTGAGAGCAATCTCAGTGATTAAATGTCAACATTGACCAAATACCCCAAATGCCCTCATTAGAATATATTTCACCAGAACAACTAGCTACCAGAAAACATAACAGAAGGCTTTCACAAAATCATCCATTTTAAATTTTGCTTCATGAACTCCAGTAAGACAGCATTTCATCTACCGCTTCCTCATAATAAAAGGGACAGTGGAATCAAAGACCCTAAGATCTTCTCCACGCTGAAGAAAACGGGATAAGTTCGGGCTACTGTAGAAAAATAACTGTGCACATTAAGTTTGTCTGGATTGCAGCCTGACTGCACTATAAAGGAAGCAAAAGACTCCATGGTTATTGCAATGAACTTCCCTAAACAGCCCTCATGTCTGTACCTCTCCTGTTCTCCAGTTCCCAGATATTTTAAAATCCAAGGATTGTAAACAAGAACCTCTCTATGAGATCTAGTTGAAGCATTTTAAGGTTTGAAGTTTTTAAAAATCAGTTTTACTTTAACCTGAAAGGGATGAAAAGCATTCACACAGCCAGCTACAACGGCTTGGATGCAGAAGGGGTGATTTCTTAAACTGCTCCAACTAGACATGCAAAAGCAGATCTGTCTATAACCTAAGGGCAAAAAATAGCAGTGAAGACAGAATAACTTGGCTTAGTAGCTCAAGCTAAGCTTCAAAAACCTCTGTGGACTGAACATGAGCTTTTAAACTGGCCTAATACTCAAATTGCCTTGTCTTCACTGCCATTAACCTGACATAGGTAACATTTTCTCCACCCTGTGCCTTTTCCATCCTCCTGACAGACTGATAACACAAAAAACAGCTGGCTCAGTCATTCTAGCTTTGGGCTCTCTGACATTACTAATCAGTCTATCCTGAGCCCCCAAGATTTCATGGGGAATCATGTTGCATTCATCATGCAGCCACAAAGCCATTATTCTATAGCAGGGGATTTTAAAACTTTGCTTTGCTTGGAGAAATGGCAAGTTTGTTTCTCTTGGCTTAAAACAGAAGGTGAACTCCCTTTTTGATGGGACACTCATGAAGCACCTGCAGATTTGGGGCTCTGATGCTGTCTATGCCATCATTTTGAATTTCTTACATTTCATTCTTAGATTCTGAGTTTTTTTACATTTCATCTCCCATTTACATTAGTTAGGTCCCTCTAATTCCTCTCTGCATCATTTTGGCACAGAAATAGCCCTGTGCAAACTCTGATCCCTCACATAACTTCCATGCACAGAGCAAATATCGCTGCAGAATCTGTAGACCTTCCCAATCCCTAGCAGCTACAACAAAAACTTTAATTCCTTACGGCAACACAGCAACGCAGTGTCCTTGGAGCAGGGGGGTGGGTGAAAAAAATCACCTTGTCCCACTTCTGCCCCTTGATCTTTCCCCCATTTCCACTCTTGATTAAAAAGACAGACTAGAAATAGCACTGCAAAACAATAAATGCCCTGGAAAAGGCAAGCTCATTGCTGAGACTCATGAAGTGACACAAAAAAATTTAAGGGCATGACTTCCAATGGTGACTTCTGACCAGGATCCTTGAACCATCCCTTTTGCTGGGTCTGCCAGAGCTAAGTGTGCACTATCTGTTCTATCAACCCTTAGCAGCTGGGAATTACTCTCAAGCTTTTGAGAAATATCTTGTAACTGCCAGAGATCATTCTGCAGTCCCAAGAAAATTATTTCCAGAAATCATGACTGGGAAAAAAAAAGGAGGAGGTGAACGGGGGAACACACCAAATCTAACAGAGAGCAAGTTAAAATAATCTGTGGGGAAGTTGAATCACTTTCATGCTACCTTGTTTGCTTTAAAAAATGATTAAACTCCTAGTTCACACTTAGCAAAGCACACTACAGAAAAATTAAAAGCTTCCCAAATTTGCAACCATAAATGAATTTCACTAGCACACCTCTGTCGCTCCGTTCCACATCACCCCTGAACAGGGGAAACAAAGAAACCAAATTAAAGCAAGCTAGGGTAAAACAATTTTGGAAAACAGACCAAGTCTTCCAGCAATTTTGTTTGGAGCTATTAAAGCTTTATTTATTTTTAATGGAAGCATGTCTTCTTTAGGAGGGAATTCCAGGAAAACTGATAGTAGAAAATTGCCGAGAGGATGGAGATAAGAACAGCTTTGTTCCCTCCAGTCCTTCAAACCATTAGGCCACCAGAGAAATGGGGAAGGAGGTGAGAAGGTGGTGGAGAGAACGTGCTTGTGCTCCAGCCCCACAGATACCACGAGCTGAGGAACATGAAAGGAGAAATGCTGGAGGTTCGTTTTATTCTCCTTGTTGCTCCCTGACATCACCATTTCGAACATTCGGTTCCCATAAATCCAGGAGTGTCACGGAAGATGCATGGCTTGACTCTGCGTGGAATGTGCCATCCTTTTTGAAGTTCTGCTTCCAACTTTGTTTACTGGTTATGAAGCGTTAACTGGCCTATTATCAGAGAGGGTCTGTTCCCTATCAGGGGTCCCCTTTGTCACTGGCTTCCGTCACACCTTGTATCTGATTAACACACTATAGGATAACATAGAACTACACAGATCTGCTTTGTGTTTTCTCACAGCTGATGAAAAACAGATTTTCCTTTTCACTTTAATGTGGTTGCCCTTTAATTGGGACTGTAATAGGGTTCATTTGATGCAATTCCTCATACTATACTAAAACTGCTATACACCAAGTTGAGTGTTCATTATGCTTAAAGATAGAGCTAGCAAAGTGATATGTCACATTCTTCTCTATTTTAACCATCCCTAAAATATCTTGTCTAACTTCAGCCATCCATAAGTTGGACACGTAATTTAAGCTATGTGCTCCTGTCAACCAAGGGGAGAAGCAGATGGTACAGATCACCTTCTGCAGGTGTCTGTGACACCCATCTTAGGGCAAGTACCACCAGAGCGCAACTTAGTCACAGGCCAAAAGACCCCTCCACAATTTACACCAGCACAATCCCCAGTAACTTGTCTAACTTCAGCCATCCATAAGTTGGACACGTAATTTAAGCTATGTGCTCCTGTCAACCAAGGGGAGAAGCAGATGGTACAGATCACCTTCTGCAGGTGTCTGTGACACCCATCTTAGGGCAAGTACCACCAGAGCGCAACTTAGTCACAGGCCAAAAGACCCCTCCACAATTTACACCAGCACAATCCCCAGTAACTTCTTTGCAGTCAGGCTCTTCACCAAACATATTTTGAGAGGAAATGACTGGCCCATGGTATGACAAGACACTGCTGGGTATGACAGACACTGCTGGGTATGACAGACACTGCTGGGTTCATGCCCCACAAAGTCCCCAGCACCAAAGTGGGCCGATTTAAATTTAACAATGCAGATGCTGATCATCAAAATTGGGTGCCAGCAGCATAGCCTGCAGTGCTAGCATCTCTTCTCCCCCTCTCTCTCTATTCAGAATTGTTAGACGATGACAGAAACATGATGACAGACGCCACAGAAGTGGAGAGTCTTGGCAAGTAGAGGTTGAACTGTTTTCCCATAGGCAGTATAGAACTTTTCATGGAATGAGAACAACAAGATGGAGTCAAAGGTTATCTATTTTCATAGTAGAGTGCCTATCTAAATAAAGTCCACACCAAATCCCCGTGGTCTGCTCTTCCTTGATTCCAAGAGAGCTGGCCAACATCTTGCACAGCTGACCCCAAATCCCAAAGCACTGAGAGTTCACAGCACATTCCCGTGTACGTGGGATTCCCACATTCACAACACGGAGGATCAGCATCAGGGCATTTGGCTAGCAGAGCAAGATGTAAACCATTCATTAACATGTACCTTTCAATAGGAAGCAAATTATATCTGCTTTTCAGTACAGCCAGCTGGGGCAAAGAATGAGAGCTGGAATCACACCTTAGGCACAAGGCCCTTCCTGGGGTAACAAACATACAGACAACACTGCAACTATCTAGAAGACACCTGGCTTTTGCTCGAGAACCCTGCAGAAAGGCTTAAACTAGCTATTGATTCCAGGCTTTTAACCAAGCCATCCAACCTGACCAGGCTAGGTGTAGAAGTTCTTATCTCCTAACTCCCTGCTTGGTGTCAAGACTCAGCACATGGCACTAAAGGGAACCATTCCCAGGTTATCAGCACAGATCTTTCTGCTGACAAAAAGAATCTCTCACATGCACCGGTGCAAAGCCGAGACCTTCCCGTACATACCACGTTAAAGCAACACATCTGTTTCAGTTCATCACTGGTAGAGTCCAGCCAAGCTATATTAAACAATCATCACTAGTGTAACATTTCCATAATTTCTGTGACAATTACTTTACTACAGAAAGCATATCTCCCCTAAGGCTTATATGGCATTTGATTTTCTTCAGCGGTATTTGAATCACACTGCACAGAGCTTATTGATGAGTGAAAGAAGCTTTTGTGTGCTTGGGGAAAAAAATACTTTTAAGTGTCAAATGTCTTTTCTCCAACATTTAATTTCTGATTTCCATCATCAGAGGAGCTAATGGTGTCAGCATTTACATGGAACAAGATGGCAAACTTATTTTTTCCTTCTTTGCTGTGGATTTAGCACTGATGAGATGTTCCACTAGACATAGATCCACTAGTCTCTAGGACTATTTGAACACCTCAGAAGGTACCAACAGCATAAAATTACCACAGAGCCTAACACCTCAGTGTTTACATGCTGCTTTAACATAGCTCTGAATGACAAAACACATAAAATCTGAGGATCTGATAACTTAACTCTGGTGTATAAGAGGACAGAAAACTACAGGACTGTGCAGAATGAAGCTTGTGTTTTAGTCTATATAAAAGTTCCCTGAGAGCAAGCTGCAATATGCA